CTGTCTCCTACAGGTTGCTTCTAATGAAAGGCTTTGACTTGCTGTCATTGCACTGCAGAGGCTGTGCTCCTGCTCCCTGCTGGACACTGCACGTTCTCAGACACAGCAGACACATGGGACATGCTTGGATCTGGTGCTCGAGGTTCAAGCACTGCAAATCTATGGCAGGGGTGTTACTCAGCTGTTAGCCATCCACTTCCCCACCTTCATCTTCCATTCTATTTCCAGAGCAGGTTGCTGTAAAGTCTTCCAGATAACAAGTCATTTATATATAACTAAGAAACAGACTTGGCACCTGCGGCTTAGGTATAAAAGTCAATGTTACTCTGGACTTAAATTCATCTTCATTATCACAGCTCTGTTGTGCACTGTTTTTCTGTATCTCTGGTTTTTGAACCAGTGAAGTTTCACTTATTTTAAGCTCATGATTTAAGAGAATGTTTAGCATCTACAGACTATGTAAACAAAGGACTTACACGTATTCATCATAAATTGGTTGTCTTATTTACAATTTACCCTCCCATATGGATTTAAATTTTTTTTATGCTTTCTTGAGATTTTTACTTCTGCAGTAATTTGGAAATCCAGATATAGGGGTGTGTTTCTATATACATAAATATGGCACAAGACTCTCAGGAGCACACTGTGGTTCCAAATAGCAGATAAATTTATTAAAGACATACTGGATCCTCCATTAAGTCTTTTCAGAGTTATGCTCCTGCTAAAATTCTAATAAACAGGGATTTTTCCATTAGCATAGCCCACAGTCATTTAATAAAATGACAGCTTCCAAATTATTTTAAAAAGTAATTTTGAAACATCAAACCCCCTGCAAGAATATCTCAATGGACTGTTATTATAGAATAACTGCTGTGCTACCTGTTCTGCTATGGACTGGGATTCTTCTTGGAGGGAAGAACTTGGAATATGGAACGGGTTACTAATGATTCTTGAACAATGTTTTTAGTTGGCCAGAGGGTTTTTTTTTTTTTTTTCATTAACAGCCCTTTAATAGCAATATTCTGCTACTTGAAATTTCATAACCATAATGGTAAAATTAAATGTAAAATTATTTTTTAATATTGCATATATCCTGTTTTTACTATCCCTTGGTAGAAAAAATTGAAACCCCACATAGATCTTAACGAAGTGATACTATGAATTTATGAGGCAGTCTTGCTCTGTCATTGATATTTAATAATTTCATTCTTGGAAGAAACATACATCAACTAGATACTACATGTTCAATTCCACTCAAATCACTGCATGAGAGCAGAAGGTTTTTCTAGCTGCTGCTATTTGCCCTTCAATATTTGATTGTTCCAGGCTCTTCTTCTCATGTGCAGGAAAAACCCACATCATAGTAACAAGGAACAGAGTAAGACAAACACTTCAACACCAGTTTCTCACTGATTAATATCTGCAAGAAGTACAGACTAGAAACTGTATTTCCAGTTCAATACTTAGGTAATACAGGTAATCCTCAAGTCAAGAATGATATATACTTAAAACTTTGAATGTTTTTAATCTCATTGTTCTTACCTTTCTTTTGACGTCAATGAATTGAGAAAACATTAAGGACCAGTAGAATGACAATTCAACTATGTAGTAGTAATGAAGGTCAGGCATCAGCGGCTGAAAGATGGAGATGAAAAAAGGTTAATAGAGTCTAACTGACATTACAGGCAGCTGTGGCCTACAGGAGACATGTTTAATCACATTGAATTAAAGAATTATACATAAGCATCCTATGTAAGAAAAATGATGATGGTTGCCTCTTTCAAACTTTGATGGCTCTGGAAAAACAAAGCTCCTCAACCCTCCCTCCTCTAATGTTTTAGTCTTGACAATACTGTAATACCAAATATTATGATGTTGCCAATTTGGAACCCAGAACAAACCAAATTCTGAGTACTCCTAAGTCTTTTTAAAGATTACTTGAAACATCTTGCTGTACATCAGTAATGCTTAAACCACAGCAAAAAAACCATGCTAGAGCAGATTAGAAAAAAGTAATGCTAGTATATAATCTCATCTGCTCATGATGGTAATGTTGCGAGCTTTGAACAGAGCTCTTTCTAATATAAATGCCTGCTTTTAAAGAATTTAACCATTTTTTGGAAATATATTAACATTTGAAAAGAAGAAAATAGAATAAATTTACCCAGGCATCCTGTTTGATATACAACATGGGTACACATATGTTTAAAAGAAATATAAATAGCAAGACATGGGAAATTATGCACAACCAAAACCAGCTTGGGGTAACTTCAAAGAAGGTAACTGGTGGCAGGCATAAGCTGTTTGGCCCCCAGCCTAAGAGAGCCAGTCCTAGGAGCTACCCTAATTTCCATGCAAATGTGCCTCCCTGATAGTCATATCTTTCACCTCAGTGATAGAGAGGGACACTGGCAAAGGAGAAGCTCCTGAGGGCACTGCCTGAGGGATTAGATAAACCATCTCTAGAGCAGTTTGCATTGGCACAACCACTCCCCAATCAGGGCACGAGCTGTTTCCATTGGCAAGAGGTATTTCAGGTGCCTCTTTTATTCAGATTCTCTTTTGCAGACAAGTTCTTAGTTGCTGAAAAACAGTTCTTAGGTGCCTAATGAATGCTCCATGAGGGTTTCTTTAATATAGACATATGCTTATGGTTTATGAAAATGTGCACACTCAATATCAATCTTTTAAAGCCATTTCTTGTGCCAATACAATCCTTTTCTGATTTAGTGAGACTGCCAATAGACTTTTAATTAGGTGTAATTAAAAAAGGGAAAGAGAGCTAGCAATGAACTGCAACTATTACACTTATTATTGCAAGTGAACTTACTGAGGAAAATTTCTAGTAAAAAAAAAGATTGTCAGCTGCTTTATTAACAATACCATTAGTATTTCTAAACCCATACATAATGATAATGTAGGGTAATTCTAATGCTGTCATGGAATCCCTCCTGGATCAATAGTATGTGTTTAATTTAATTCAAATGTAAGCTTTCAGTTCTTCACAGACTTTACCTCAACATAACTATTCTGTGCTTATGGTTGTGTTGTCTCCCTAATGATCAATTTGTCTATATTTACAGTGATACAGTAAAGTCCAGCTGGATTTCTGCAATGCATTGGTGAATAACTTACAAAGGATTTGTAGCAAACAAGAGATTAGAAATTGTATCTAGTTTAGGAAAAAACAACAAAACAAAACAAATTAAAAACCTGGTGTTTAATTCTGATTAGCCCCCAATAGACAATTTTATCTCTGAGACAATGATTTCCATAATGACTTTAATTAGGTGATTTGCTTTCTCTTGGACCCTCACCACTACTAGCATAGTAATTTTACTCTATTGCTACACTCTAAAAGTTGTAACCAGATTTCTGAATGACTTTGTTCTTCTGGTAGGTCTGGTAAATGTATGTTCTTTGGCCAGTAAGATTCCTGTTCTTTTGTGGTAAGTAAATCTCTTATTGCATATAACAACACAAAAATAGTAGGGAGGAGGACTGAAAAGCACCAGTGACTGTAGCCATATCAATCTAAAAATCAACTGTACCTAAAATTTCTGAGGGATGAAGATTCAACACTTCCTCCATTCAATTTCTGCTGCTGCTGCTTCCCTAATATTGTTCAGTTCACCCTCCAGTCTCCAGGTGGAATTTAAGTCATTACCTCTTCTGAGGCTACATGACCAAATTCCTTCAACCTTTCTCAGATCAAGATTTCTGGTCATTCTTGCTAAGCTGTCTCCACTGAACTATTTCCAACAGGTATAAAGCCTTCAAGAACAGTAGCATCAAAACACGGTTCTCCTATTCAGCCTGTCACGGGCTGTTTACTCTCACAGGGAATTCTCATGTCTTTCCGACAATACTCTTTCTCATACTTTCCAGTCTGAAAATTACTTCCCCCTCCCTGCTCCCTGACCTTCAGGGAAACAAAAAACTAAAATAAAAAGCCCAAAACAACCCCTAGACAGGTTAAACTCCTTAAATTGCCTATTTTTCTCTGGACATTTTGGAATTCAGTGTGTGGAATTCAGGTGTGACAACTATATTCGTCTTTACCATCTTGAACTCAAGCAAGATGTGACGTATCTAGCAATGATCTGAAATGCCAAGTAGCCCACTCACACTAACATATTGACATAATAAAAACAGAGCTCTGCAGAAGTGTCATGTTTGTTTTTAGGCAGCACTGTAACTTTTACCTGATATGGATACCCGTTCCAGCACTGTCTGGTATTCCAGAGCCAGGGTGTCTGAGAGAAAGAAAAAACAAAGCAAAGGTTTGTACACACCATTTTGTGCAATATTAAGTGTATATTTTTATTACAAGTGAAAGACAAAACTACAGGAACAGCTTAAGATTTTCAATTTTTGCTAGAGGCTATGAAAACTGAGTAAAACAAGGAGATTCTTCAGAGCTTCACAATATGTTGGAGCAACTTGCCTAGTTGTTGTTGGTACCCCATGACCTTACTTTTGAAGGAGTGTGGACTGAATGTAATCAGTCTGTGCTTAGATGGTCAGATCTCGCATTACCTTCTCAATAGCATAGGAAATTTTGACCTCAGACTACTCAAATATTTCAAGGAAGGCTCCTTGAAGGCTGTTACCCATAAGCATCCTTCTATACAGGAACCATCCTTCATTCCTGCCACATCAGCTCTAAATAGCAAGTCATACCTCTTGCTTTCCTGGCTGAAGACATGACCATCCAGAGATGATAGATCTTGCTACCACATGGAGAATACTCTCACATCTTAGGGTAACATGAAATATGCCAGAGACACATTTATTGTAGCACCCACAAACTCTTGCATTGCAAAAAGCTGTGTAAACTAAAAGACTTGGGAAGAAGAAACTCTGTTATGCTTCCGGTTTCTTTGTTGCTTGCATGGGATTTACGTGGTTCTTTCTTTTTCAATAACACAAGAGAGCCTTTTAAATCTTATACTGTAAGCAGGATGTTACTTTCAGAGTTACTTAGTTTTTATCACCTTTTCTGTGCAATTAAATGTATCTGAGATAGACTATACCATATGGGCAAGGTCTTCTACCCGACATACTCACCATGAAGTATTTCCACATTGTGTAATAAGAACATGACCAAATCAACAGTTACCAAGTAATGGCAATTCCCTTTTTGTGCATAAGCAGGAACACCTTTCAGAGAGGCATGTCTTGCAAATCACAGCTGCACCTCAGGTTCTGGCAGAATCTGGACCTTGAGAAGAACTTGTTTACACTATAAGTAACCACCTAAAGGGCATCTCATTAGAAACTTGAAAGAAAACTGTGAATTCAAGACCTTTGTGCATAACCTTATGTTTACATAACCTTAATTGCTCGAAATTCGAGTTTAAAGGGGGCAGAACATCATTAGTAAATCTCTTGGATTAAGGCAGACATACACATTTACAGCATTAAATGCTTTCCCTAGATTACAGTTTTTCAAATAAATCCTCATTGCAGGATAAATGGCATGTTCTTGTTTTCACCATCAGGTGGAGCAGCTCGGCTCAGGCAAATCATAATAACAAACTCATTCAAAATACAATAAGCGGGTGTCAGAGCAATAAAATGAACACTAGGCAGAATGTCAAGGCCCCAGTCTGAGAATCAGGCTAGGCAGGAAGGATTTGTACCATAATAAAAGATAGGACAAATGCTACATAAAATAATAGCCCAATTTGTCTTATAGAAGGTCCTTATAGCCTTTGTTGGTTAATGTGATGTAATACGATTATTAAATGCTTTTCCTATATTTTTGCACGTGTCTTTTAATGGAAAAGACGATGAAATTTGCACACCCATATCTCAATTCTCCTGAAATGGCAAAGAATTATTCTTACAGTAATCTGAGCAGTATACTGACATTTGAAGTACCAGACCTCCTAGAGTTTCTGATACGCCTCTCACAAGGATGCTGAGAGAATGATTAAAGTCCATCCAAACTTCTCCTTCTCTGTCTTAGAAATAATTGTTATGGAAGCAATTAATTAGTTCAAGGCAATTAATCTCCACAGTAGTTTCCATGCTATGTAAGGTCCTCAGATTTCATGCAATAAAAAAGGTCTTTGGAAACAGCCACAGCTCCTCTTCTGCAAGATAATATAAAGAATCTAAAATATTTCTGTCTGACAGCTGCCTAAATTAGATCCATACAAGTATTCTAGGATAATTCATAGTTTTAGCCAGGTTTGAAAAGCTGTAACTGTCTTTCATATCAGATTCAATAAGAGATAAGAGATGCTTCCTACCCAATTATTTTGCTGCCTAAATTACAGGTCCCAGGAAGAAAATGCACATTTTTCTCTTTCAAATATTATGACATTTTAAGGCTTCTTCATAAAGATGCCTGCTGTAGGAGCTGCAGGTACAAAGGTCTATGTGCAATTAAAATGATGACTGTTAAACAAAATAGGCCTCTCTGGAGGAACCCATAACCGCAACGCCCGACAGGATACCACAAACTGACAAATAATATAATGTATGCATTAAGCCTCAAAGACCAATACATTACAGAACATATGCCTCTTCTGAGCCACATAAAGCTCAGAAAGCCCTGCTGCCATCTCAGATAAAATTCTTGTGAGTAGCTGTTTGGAAACCTAATGGATCCTATGAGGGCAACAGTGGTTAAGATGGTAGGGGGCAACAGTGGTTAAGATGGTAGGGCTCCTATACCATCTATGCCCTGGAAGAGTTAGCCAAAGAGCTTGGTTTAAGCTCAGCCCTCCGCTCTGACCTTCACAATGAGCACAGCCCTAGACCGAACCTAACTTTCACATGTTACCATGGTTATAATTGTTACTCATGGTTATAATTGGACCAAGACGCATCTTGTTTAGTCCTCTGTGAACCTCACATCTGTGAAATACTCTGTACAGGCTTCAGTAGGAAGGAGAAAATCTTAAAAAAGCTCCCAGCGCAGTAGGAGACCTAGACACGTTAAAAGGTGGATAAATCAGAAAGAACTGAAGACCAATATTCTCAGGGCTCACTTGAGCCCTGTGTGTGCTCATAGCACATGTCTGCAAACTTTGTCACACCAGGCAGGTTCACCGTGAAGCTGAGCCCAGCTCTTCCTGTAGAGTCCCGCAATGGACAAGGAGAAAAGGTCAGTGACTTGGCTTCACAAAAGATCCCTTTTTGATGAACATAAAAGAGTGCTACTGTTTCCTCTCTCTGATGAATACCCATTTTTCCCTTTTACTTCTTATTCTTGGTATATAATCTTTGAGGAAGGGAGGAACCTGACGGGGCTGGAGAAGAAAGGAAATGCAAAGATCCTGATAACAAAAAGGCCTCCTTAAGCTGGAAACAGAATACTAAAACCTTCAGTACCAATTATGCCACACAAAAAGCACCAGCCCTACAACGCTGACATCTTGCCTTACAGAACATAAAGGAGTTCAGACAGAAACTGAAGTTTTACCTTACTTTGGTGCAGTGCCTAATAAGTGCAGTATCAGTGACAGACGAGGATGATAAACAGCTGTTCAGTCTGTTGTGATTTACAGTATTAAGGAACAAATCACTATTAATTTCCTTACAGGAATATCTATTAACAGCTTTATGAAGCCTCTCTCCAACTCTGTGATTAAACAGAGAAATTTTAAAAATTGCTTCAGAATCCCCTTCTTCAGACTAGGGAATGACTGAGGATTTTGGAAGAAAAAGAAACACACAAACCTCCCCAAATGATCTGTGATGTCTGCATGCTTAGCCAGAAGCCTCGGGTTGGTTTGTATCCATTGTCTCATTTATTTATCTATAGAGAAAGCTTCTAATTGGCCCCTGGCTTTCAGAAGCCCCAAAGAAATGAAAATCTGACATTCTTACTCAAAATGCTGCTCGTATCTAGTATGTGGAAAGTTAGTTTTGATAGTAAATGGAAGGGGGAAAAAAGTAGTACAATAAAACCCCTTCCATTTGTGATCAACTCCACAAACAGCAGATTTGGCCAAAAGGTATTTTTGTGTGTATTTTATCATGGAGGGAATGGATGCACCTGAAGAAGTACTATTTTAAAGAAACAAAATAAATTTTGTTTCATCATAAAGTAATAAAAATAACCAAGAATACTCCTCTCTTATCCATATGCGCCTAGTAAAACCTACTGAGTATAGGAAACACACAAAAGCCACAGCCTAGGCTCTCAGAGAGACAGACAAGAGTTGAACAAGTCATGAGCAAGAACCTTCCCATACTCTCAGCAAGGCAACCATCAGTGTGTATCACGTATTTCATGGATGTAGTTGAATTCTACACACATTTTATAGAATCAGTATGTATACATAGGTCTCATAAATTTGCAAAATAACTGCCTTTGGGCAGCCAAAGTTACTTTCACAGTTTGTTTCACTGCAAGTTGCTGTACCAGCAACAGGTTAACTTTTTCTTCTATCCAAGCACAAGTAGAAATCCCAATACGCAAGTTTTACCCACAAGCACTGGTGTTGGTTTGTCCTTCAAAGAGTGAACCTACAGATAGGTAAGAGACATGCACAAAAATAATACAGGGTTGCTGTCACCCATTTTTTCTTTCTGTAGTCCATAAACTTGAAACATGTTACATATTGAAGAAACATTTCCAAAAGCCTATCACTAAGTCGTAGGACAGTAAAATATCCAGAGCAGCTTCTGTCATAGCAGTTTGGAGTATCCCAAAGAGCTGTTATACACCCAATTTACTCCTGGCCTCACAGGCATGTTGTAACCCCCAAAGGGGTTCTTCCTAATTCTCAGATAAGTAAGAAAAATCTTTCCATCTAAAAAAGAAATATAATATGCCTGCTATTTTTATCAGAATCCAGCATGTAAAAATCCAGGAACATCATGACACAATCCTCACATTTCATAAGAGCTAATTTATGTTCAAAACCCCATTTCAAATAAAAATGAGACCTCCTTAGTAAAAAAAAAAATTAACTTGCTTTTGAAATTAGAAAACTTTTGATCCTGTAAAACAAAACCAGCACAATACAGAAATCCTGAGCATTCAACGTGTATATGTTCACTACTCCGCAAATTCAAAAGGCTGAGATTTTATCTGGCTTTTTAAATGTGTTTGAATACAGCTTTGTATCATTTGTCTCTGGCAGTTACAAGCAATATTAAGTGGAACAGAAATTAGCACTGTTAATTACAGTCAAGATAATATATACTTTTGGCAAAGTTCTACTATCTCATTTATTTGGGGCTGATACAGGCAAAGATGCCAAAGATGTCTCCCGGCATTCACATCTACTTT